GAGTTCAATTTGATTTGATTTGATTTGATTTTTTCAAATCAAATCAAATTCAAATTGCTTAAATATTTGATTCGATTCGATTTTGAAAAACCCTAGTACTAAAGGTACAAGGGAGGAATTTATTTCTGAATATCAGCTAATATTGCATCAATTTCAGCTAACATAAAATCCATTTCTATTGTCTGAGACTTTTGAGGATCAGGTTGAAATGCAAGCAAAGAAGCCTGTGTTTGGGATTTTGAACTGTCATTTGCCTCAGGAATAGATTAAGATTTATGGTCAAATTTAGGACCATTGTCTTCTGACTCAGTATTACCTATAGCATAATTATTTCCTACATCAAGATGATCTGATTCTTATCTTATTGCAATTCTCAAAAGGAGTTTAAGATATTGGGGGTTGGATTTTTATTACCATGAACTCTGAAAGCGTGTTTACTCCCATAAAATCTTAATTTTTTAGGTATAGTTCTATAAGATTCTTGCTTTAAGAATTCATTAATGGCTAAGCATTATGTGTTTTACTTTCAATGAAGACAGGATCAGATAACTTTTTAGCCTTAATTGCATCTTGAATCCAAGTGAGTAATTCCCTAACACGTTCTGGATTCTTCTTCATGGAAAGAAATAGTTAGGACTCAGGATTTTTCTTCTTTTTTCCTTGACTTTTTAGATAGCCTATACAGTACTAAGAATAGCCTTCTTTATATCATGTTGGAATGTTAGAAGGATCCAGTTCATGGTGATTAATTTGAAGAGATTTTACTTCTTCTGGTCTCATACTCAACATTACTACCACATCTGCAAAATTCTCTCTAGTAGGAATTTTGAAAACATATTTTGAATCCTTTTACTCACATTTGCTAAGGAGAAATGTATAGGAATTCTATCTGAATTAGCTATTCGTTTCTTAGTTTGCTTTTTCTGAATTTCATAAGACTCTTAAATATGTTTTTGATCTTTAGAAAATGCTTCAATAATTGCAGGATCTACATCGCCTTCTGTTAACTTCACACAGAATGTTGATTGATGCGAGATACTGGTAACAATTTCATTTTCATTATTACTCTTTAGACCTAAGTGCTAATGATTAGCAACAATTTCTATAAAATCACCAGTCTTAGCATAATATTTTGCCCTTTCCTCTATAGTTAGTTTCTTTTTCTCTTATCTGGCAAGAGAGCTTCTATCTGCTCTTTATTAAATGAGCGTCTGTTATCAGTGTCTTTGGAAAGTGCAATCTTAACATATCTGCAGGCTATCTAATCAGAAAGTAAAGTATCAAGTTTAGGAGCATGTTCACTTAATTGTTCTGAAGTGGAGTCAGCTGACAAATTATACTTTTCTAGGAACTGATTCAAGATGCTGACATAGTTATTAATTTTGGGTTTTTGAGTCTTTGGGATAGCCGTTTTGGTAGCTATGTCAATATTAACTGTTATCTGTAGTACACATAATGGAATTTATGACTATGTCTAGCATGAAAGTAAAAAAACTAAAACAGAATCGACCCTTTTGGGATTATCTGATATAGTCAAGATACTTGGTTGAATAACAATCTGGACTGATAAATTATTTTTTCTTACCCTATAGAATTAAAAAGTTCCTAGATCTCATTATCTGCATTTGAACTATATGATGGAAGTTCTGGTGTACCTTTATCTCTAAAACCAAAAACTATCATATGACTGGCGATTAATTTTGTATGAATATTCCCAAACCCGCTGTTTCTTGAAACCTATTTTTTTCTGATTGCTTTTAACTGTATAACCATACCAATTATCAGTGATTATATTAATTGCTTTTATAGCTGATTTAAGATCTGGCCTTTCTTTTGCATAAGATCTAAAGCCAAAGAGTAATAAAAACTGACTTTGAATTTCAATAAAACTTTCACATGATTACGTGAATGCTTCTGATACTATATTACTAGAAAGGATACGCTTATCGTCTATACCAGTAAAGTCTAGTATTTGAAAGAGTTCTCTTATAGCCTTCCATTGATTAGCTGAATATGATTTGTATAAGTCTTTTGCTACTAATTTCTCAATATTCTCATTAGCTTTATAATGAGTATCTTTCTATTGCGCAATATCTTTGGCCTCTAATCCTTTTATTGTACTTTTCTCATCATAGTCTTATTTTTAAAAGTGAGATAACCTCAAGAAATGTTTCTGAGGTTCAGGCAGGCTAAAATATTTTACAAACTTCTTATTGCAAAGATTATTCTAAATCTTATTGTCCATATCTTTACTACCATAAATATTTCGCATATAGAAATGTTTAAGTACCATAGTATCTGAAATAGAGCACTTTTAGTCAAACTTAAGATTTTCAGCTTCTTCAGGATCAAGATTTTGGAAAATATTAATTGCATCAAAATCTGTTTCCTTGATAACTAATACTTCAACCTTAACCACATTGCAAATCCTTTTACGATTTCCTATAACTTCTTGGCTTTTATCTATTTTTATAAGTTGGAGAGAAGCACCTTTACTAGCTATAAGGCTACATGATATCTCAATGTAATTTCTTACAGAAAGACATTTTCGATGCTTAACTTTGAGGTATGATATTATGGCAGGTGATTGATCAAGTTTATATGATACAATATTTTTATCCTATTCACAATGCTTCTTATTGCTATAGGCAAATCATTAGACCTAGCACTTTCAAGTTCAATATGAATATTTTTATAACCTGGTGAGTGAAAAAGCATATTAGAATTTATTTAATAATAAATAGATAGTATACGTTTTTTACAATCATGAATTGAAACATCATCTGAATAAAGGCTTCAACATTAACTGGAGTTACAATATTTGTAATGCTTATAACTGCATCAAAATGATCAGTCTTTTCAAAAGATATGTCTGCTTCTACTATACTTATATAAGTTACACAATCAAGTTCATCCCAAGTGGTATTTATATCTGAAAAATTATCTTTTCATTATTTTCTGTCTATATCTTCATAATAAGCACAGACTCTAACAGGAGAATTATCAGGTCTTTGCAATTTAGAGGTTTTTTCTGCCAATATTCAGACCATACTGCAACTTGTTAGAACAAATACCACACGCTTACCCTGCTATAATAACTCATATCCTATTCGCATAGCTTCAGCTCTGCTATTTGAATCATAAAGATATTTAACAGTTTTACCTATAAGCAGTAATGTGCACTTGAAAGATTAGAAGCACCTTTGGAAGGTTTTGAAGCACAATTTATTAATAAAATTATTTGGATTAGAAGCTTCCAATCAAATTTTTTACCATTAGAAGTATAAAATACACATCACTGCCTATAAGGGGTTGAAATTTATTATCGATCACTCGAATATTTTCATTACGATAAGTTTTAAGAAAGGTTAGAATCAATTTATTTCTGAAGGCATCTATTGCAAATACATGCTGGGTTGTTTTTAATATGTCACACATCGCATTCTCAAATCCTCGTGCTATTGATTTCATTTAAAATAGCTACAATTGGACGTGTTGAGAACTCTATATGAGAAAGACTCTCAACTTAGACTATAATAATATCCCATTTATCTACGGATAAGTTTTGTTCATCTTGATAATTACAGATTCTAAGCCTGAATAATTTAAGATTATTAATTTTACCTTGCGATTTATTATTAAGAGTTTTTTGGTAAGAAATTCAAACAATGTAAGGCAAACTAGCTTTATTTCTGGCTAAGAAATTGAGATATATTCTTAACCCTTTTATTTTTCCTGTCATCATAGGAAAGCAAATTAGAGTTGTATTGGTCTCTCTACTCAAAAAAGTCAGGATAAGCTTTTGGGAAATTTTCCATCTCCTTTATGTTAATAGCTTTTCCAGATAGTTCAGAAAGTGAGTATGGATTTGATATGATATTAGCTATTCTTTCAGCTATTTCTCGCTTAGGTATTACAAGAATTTTAGTTGCTTCTCTAAATACTAAACCTTTATAATCCGGCTTATATTATTTTTGCTGATAGCATTTGAGTATAAAGCATCTATCTTTTTGAAAAAAGCCATACAACTGATTCCTTTTATGTTTGATATTGCAAATAGGGCATTCTATAAATAATTTGACATAAAAGGTAATAAATACTTTTTCAGTTTTTCTGATTTTAAGCTATTCATATTTTATCATTACTAAACCAGCTCCATTACTTAAGGTAGTTTCATCTTTGATAGGTCAGAACTCTTTTTTTTCTAGCTTTTCAGGAGAAAATGTTTGAGGTCAGATTTCAGAAGCATCCTTTGGTTGAACTAAATAATCCTTTAGTTTGCAATACCCTTTTTTAACAGAAAAAACTGCAGGTCCTTTAACTCTATCATTCTTTGCTGATCCAAGAAGACGAAAGCTAAAACAGAATTTATAAAGTTCTATATTAATAAATTCAAAGTATGGTTTTCATACTCTATCAATGACTTTTTCTACAAAACCCCTAAAATCTCTATAGTCAATAAAGCAGGCATCAAAACATATAATATGTTAACTGCATTTATTAGAATTAGATGAACTGACCAAAGTAAATACATCTAATGTTATGAGATTTTTTAAATTAGAGTATAAATATTAGTCGAAATAATTTTTTTTAATTGTTAACGATGCAGTCTAGTCGCAGTACTTTATTATGTATTGTAAATTGAAGGAAAAACCTAAAAAAAATACTAAAATACGCAACTTACCCCCCACGTTTCTATTTCAAACTTGTTTAAATCGACTGATTATTGCCACCCCCGAAGGGGGTGGAAATAAAGTGTCAGAAAGCATCTAATTTCTAAATGTCTATCGAACCCTAACTTTCCACAAAAGAAATTCTAACACTAAAAACAACACCCAAAGTAGGGAATTAGCACAAATAGAAATTTACAAACAACTAAACATGACTCTATAAAAGACCTAAATATCCAGTTAATTCCAGATATAATGACCACCTGACCAAAGAGGGTGCGTCCAAAGAAAGGTTCAAACAGAGGCTCTTCATACTTATAGATTCATAAGTATGAAAAAAATATCACATGGAATCCACTACGAGAATCTAACAATGAATTAATAGATAGTAATCTATACCTTTACCTAGTTACCAGGAAGGAATAGATCTAGACGAAGTGAACTTACACTGAGTAAGGATCTTGACAACAAAGGCCTCTGTTGCTCTATTTCAAACCCATTTGAGCCAACAAAAATAACAGACCAAGTGGTAGCTACCATCACACCATATAGAGACCTTATAGAAAAATAAAGTAATAATTCACGTTAAATTTGCATGTGATCTTCGATGACAGAAGATCTGCAGAAAGACAGAAGCCAATCAAAAGAGAGTGTATTATTTAGAAAGAGAAAGGAGATCATCATGTGAGATTTGTTTATCTAAAGTATGTCGATTATGATCGTCAGTTCGAATACCCCTTGATGCCTACTTTTTGTAGGCAAAAAAGAAAAAGAGAAAAAAATGGAAAAATTTTTTTGAAAAGAGGTGAAGAAAAAATATTTTAATAAAAAACAACACAGTTTAGACTATTCCGAAAATTTTTATGTGAAGAGGGGTGTGGGGAACAAAGAGAGGAATATTTTTGAAAGGTGGGTTTTTTGTTTTGTTCACAGGCTAAGCCACAGCTGCCGTTGAACAAACACTTTTTTAAAGTAAAAATTCTTGGAAAAAATCCAATGAGTAGAAAAAGTTTTTTATACACTCACCATACCACACTAGTCGAAATAATCCATTTCGTCACTTTTTAAAAGTGTGAATGTTGGCCGAAATATAGTCTAATTTCTGCTGATTATTGCCAAAACAATCAGCATTTTTAGTTATAGCCGAAGTTGCCATTTTCATGCTATACAAAAAAACATTCAACATTAACGATTGGTAGTTGTTTTATATGTTTGATAAAATCGGCTTAAATTTGTTCAACTAACAAAACAAACAAAATTCAACTTATTAATAAAAAGTTCAGTAATATTTCAGCTATATGTTTGATAAAATCAGCTTAAATTCATTCAACTAACAAAACAAATAAAATTCGACTTGTTAATAAAAAGTTCAAAATATTTCGGCTATAAGTAATCGCAAAATTGGCAAAATAAAATTTCTGATATTTAGATAATTTATTTTCATATTTTTTGACAATTTATTTATTTTATAATAATGTAATTTAATCGAATTAATAACAAATGGTTTATTAATTTAAAATATAAAATAAAATATATAATAAAATATAATTATAAAATATAATAATACAAATATATATAAAATAAAATAAGAATCAAATAAAATTTGTTATAAATTATGATATGTCGAATTTATTCTTCTTCTTCAATATCATCATCTTCACCTTCAACTTCAGTTGCTAGTGCCGAAAAATCAGTGTCTGCTGGAGTATTTTGATCTACAAATATCCAGTCAGGAGCGTTTTGAGAGTGTCGCAAAATCATCGCTATAATGTTGAGTACTCGTTAATTATGCGGTTTGCAGTGAGAACGCATGACGGTCGACCTCTCGCAACAACGCCTTCAATTAATAAAATTAAATATTGGAATTAGTTAAAATTTTAACAAAAATTATAATTAAATTTATAAAAAGTATCGAACCTCATCTGATCTTCAGCTTGGATTATAAACATTAATTGTTCATGTTCCCGTTTCTTTTGAATCAGTCACTGAATCTTTGGGGAATAATAACGATTGTCTCCCAAGATCCCCAATAACTCTTCCTTATCATATTTCGAAACTCTCTCATTACCTAAATCAAAAAGCGAATTGGCACCTTTAATCCTTCTGACCTTTTTCTATATTAAAATATCGAACGTTAATCGAAGTTCATTTTTCTTAAAAAAAAATCAATTTCGATTATATTTATCTCACTGGTACGATTGTTTTTGTGTAATCGCCAATTATCACGATTTAAAGTACTGTGTTGTTTATATAATAACCAAACTCATTGATGCCTGTGGAGCGAGCCAAGCCAATCTCTGATTTATTTGTATGTTGTTTTGAACCTTTTTAAGCTTTGACAAGATGCGGTATTACTTGTTGTAATATTTCGGTATTTTTTTCACTGCCAAACTTAAGATTGTATCTCATTTTGAGATAGTTTGACAATGTTTTTAAAATCGTTCTCATTTCAATCTAAATTATAAAAAAAATAAAGCTGATTTAAGTTAATTTGATTGATGTCGGTTATATTTGATTAAAATTTGGTTAGAATTAAAGTTATTTTAATTAGAATTCAGAAGAGATTTTAAATGAACCCTGGCCACGTTATTGTTGTAAGACCTCTCTTCATTACTTTCATCGCTACTGTGTCGAGTTCATTTTCCTCAACAATCATCATCTGATTCTTTATCTCTACGTCTTTATCGGCCTTGTCCAAGTTCATTCTGCAAACTCTCATTTTCACGAATAAGCGTTTCGTTATTTCCAATAACTTTGCTGAATTCCGTCCTTAAATGTCTTAATTCTTCATTTGCATTGCTGAGTTGCCTGCTCAACTTGTCCATTCTTCCACGTAAATATGCTTTTTCATAGAAAAGTTAACAATAAATTGATTAAAAAATATATATCGGCTAAATTTTTGCAATAAATTACACTTACCTTCACTCAGCGAAGAATTAGTTGTTCTAGGAGAAGCTCTCTCCTTCTTGGTCGATAAGGAGTTACACTCCTTTTGTCACATCTTAATCTGCGATCTCATGTGTATTAATATGGAGTATATCAAAATTC